AATCTCTGTTTTTAACAGATGAGGTCTTCCTCTGCCCCTCATGCTGGTTTCTTAGGGTTCAGTCCAGAGCTCCTGAGCATTTCCAAGATAGGACCATTTGTTGTTGGGAGCACAGAGGTTCTTGTGCTCACAGATAGCACGAGGGGACCCAGGAATGTTAAACAGGCAGGGTTGCATTTTCAAAGATGTGCCGGGCGGTGGTGGCGCACGCCTTTAATCCCAGCACTCGGGAGGCAGAGCCAGGCGGATCTCTGTGAGTTCGAGGCCAACCTGGGCTACCAAGTGAGTTCCAGGAAAGGCGCAAAGCTACACAGAGAAACCCTGTCTCGAAAAACCAAAAAAAAAAAAAAAAAAAAGAAAAGAAAAAGAAAACCAGTTGAATGCTTTAAGTGCTGCTTAATGGATCATCCTAGTAAGAACATGGAAAACAGTGGTGCTGGGTGTGATTTGATGAACTATGGGAGCCTGGTTTACAGAGCAAGTTCCGGAAGAGCCAAGCTTAGGCAGTGAAGGAAGCTATCGAAAACAGAAAGCTGGTGAAGATGTAATTGAATAAGGGGCCATGTTCCAGCTCCAGAAGGCAGTAGAACTTGGCAGCTTTGGCCACCTGGTTCTGGCTTTAAGGACAGAAGAAAGGGCTATGGAATATTCCTCCACAACTAAGGAAAGCTGGGGAGGCCCGGCACGTGTCAAGGGTGTTTCTGAATGGAGGTGTAGAGAGGCCATTGCATGAAGCTGTGAAGGTGAAGCCTAGATTGTCTTGGAGAACCTAAGATGTTGGGTTCTGCCATGGGATACCTGCTGAGGAGAGCTGCTAACAGGGAATGGAACCAGGCCCAGAGAAAGAAGTCCACAAATCTGGAAAGAGTTGGAGATGTGGAGAGCATTTCAAAATCAGCCATGAAAGTGCGGAACTTAGAGTTTACCCAGCTGGTTTTGGTCTTGCTTTGGTCCAGTATTTCCTCACTATGCTCCCTTTCCTACATTTTGGAATGTTAAGACACTGAATGAATCTCAGAAGAGACTTTGAACTTTGGACTTTTAAAACATTGTTGAGACTGTTGTAGACTAAGGAGACTTTTGAAGTGGGATTCAATGCATTTTTGCATCATGATATGGCTACAAGCCTTTGGGGACCAGGGAGTGGAATGTGGAGTTTGAAAGAAGATGGCCCCCAAAGAGAGTGGCATTGTTGGGAGGTGTGGCTCTGTTGGAATAGGTATGGCCTTGTTGGAGGAAGTGGGTAGTGTCTCGGTTCACTTCCTGTTGCCTGTGGATCAAGGATGTAGAACTCTCAGCTCCTTCTCCAGCACCTTGCCTGCCTACATGCTCCTGTCTCTTCACAGCAATGAAAACCTTAACTAAGACGGCCCTTAAGGTAACACATGGAGCCGGTCTCTAGAACCCATCTTCATGGGAGAAGTGACGTGAACTTTGAGAAGAATTTCGCTGTAATTGTGCCTCCTTCTGCACACAGGATTATGTTACACCTGGAAACTTTTCCAAATTGTGCCTAAAATACACTGCCAGTGTCAGGTTCTGGAAGTTCAAACCAACACTGGCTATGAAGTGTGGCGAACCTGACTTCCTTCTTGCTTCATGCAGATCACGGATCGTTACTCTGCCAGCTCTGGTGTTTGCAGAGACCTCCACAACTTGTGGGTCAGCGAGATAGCTCAGCAGGTGAGGTCGCTTGCAGCCAAGCCTGACAACCTGAGCTCGATCCCCAGGCTCCACATGGTGGGAGGAGAGAATCAAATTCTGCAAGTTTGCCTCTGATGTTCACTTATGCTCTCCTCCACCCACACTTACACAATAAGTCAGTGGAATAAAAAAAAATGTAAACTGAGTGTAGTGCTGCATCCTCCTAATCTCAGCACTCAAAAGGCAGAGGAAGGTGGATCTCTGCGAGTTTAAGACCAACCTCATCTCCATAGCGGGTTCTAGGCCAGTCAGGGATACACAGTGAGACCCTGTCTCAAAAATAAAATAATATGTAGCCAGGTGTGGTGGCACATGCCTTTAATACCAGCACTTGGGAGGCAGAGACAGGTAGATCTCTGAGTTTGAGGCCAGCCTGATCTACAGAGTGAGATCCAGGACAGCCAGGGCTACACAGAGAAACCCTATCTCAAAAAACCAAAAAATAAAAAAGTAATATAATAAACAGATAAGAGAATAGGGGCTGGAGGAATGCCTCGGCCATTAAAGGTTAGGCTCACAACAAAAGGCAAGAATAGAAAGCTAGATGTAGTGGTATTACCTATAGGCCCTGCTCCCAGGGAAGTGAAAGTAGCAGGATTGCTTGAGGCCAGCTATCCAAAGCCAGGGTAGCATAGCAAGACCTCATCCCAAGGAATTAAAAAGAAAAGAATAGCAAACATCAGGACACACTGCTCACACATTGGACTCAGGTGACCAATCTGAAATGCCTTTGATAGGTCGTGTGGATATAAGTGTGACTGCGTGCCCTCCATGTGTCCATGTCTGTGTGTCCTTCCTTGTGTGTCCACATAGGTGGCTGTGTGGGGGTCTCCATGAAGGTCTGCATGTGCAGTGTGTTTACGTGCCTGTATTCATGTGTGTTCCTGTCAGGACACTTACGTCTGTGCGCCTCCCTCCATCCCCATTCTCCCACCACCACCCCATTTTTGAGACAAAGTCTTTTTTTTTTTTTTGTTTTTTGTTTTTTTCGAGACAGGGTTTCTCTGTGTAGCTTTGCGCCTTTTGTGCCTTTCCTGGAGCTCACTTGGTAGACCAGGCTGGCCTTGAACTCACAGAGATCCGCCTGGCTCTGCCTCCCAAGTGCTGGGATTAAAGGCGTGCGCCACCACCGCCCGGCCGTGAGACAAAGTCTTAACGGAGCCCAGGCAGCCATTGAATTCACCGTGTGGGGGGAAGGATGATGTTGGACCACTCTCCTCCCAACTCTCCCCGCCCCCATTTTAAATCACATTTATTTGTGTGTGAGATGTTGTAAGGGACGGTCAGAGGACAGCCTGTGGGTGTCAGTCCTCTCCTGTGGGTCCACAGCATTGCTCTCCTGTCCCCAGGTTGGCGGCACGTGCCTTTACCTACTCAGCCATGTGGCTGCCTGCTCCACTTTTTTTTTAGATTAATTTTATTTTGTCCCTCAAATCTGGAGCAGTCATGTGGTAACCAAAGGAAATGATTTCGCAAGTGAATAAACAAATCCTCCTTTAGCGGTAAACACATTTGCCAAGAACGAACATTAATATTCCTAAATCGAGGCTGCTCATCTTTCCTTTGTGTATAAAACATGAAATCCGAGGAGACCGACTCTGAGACCTGTGCCATTCACTTTGTTTTATTAAACGGACTCTCCACTCATTTTTTAACATTACTTTCTGGAATCTCCTTTAATCCAGTCATACGTTAACATTCCAGGGATAGCCCACAGTCAAAGGATTGAAGATAGCTGCTCAGAGAATAATCAGGAAAATTCAAATAGGTGTTATGTCGTAGTAACCTTCAGTCTCAGAATCCTAACGGCCACCCCCAGCTGTGGGACAGGAGGGACATCCAGACTCTCGTCACTCAGACTCTGCCATGGGCTCTGGAGTAAGAGGGGACCCCATGGCCAGCATGTGTGTCGAGTAAAGGTTGGTAAAAAATGTCATTAGCTGCTGGGCAGTGGTGGCGCATGCCTGTAATCCCAGCACTCGGGAGGCAGAGGCAGGTGGATCTCTGAGTTCCAGGCCAGCCTGGGCTACCAAGCTAGTCCAGGGTGGGCTCCAAAGCTACAGAGAAACCCTGTCTCCAAAAAAAAAAAAAAAAAAAAAAAAAAAAAAAAAAAAACAACAACAACAACAACAACAAAAGTCATTAGCTTTAGCACCATTTTCTCACAAAAGTCTTATCACAAAGTACTGACTATCAATGACCAGGAAATACTGCTACTGAACGGGAGATGGCTGTACACAAGGACCTGTATCCTATTTGGTGGTTTTAATTTCTAGTGCTCAATGAGGAATGGGAATGAGATTGCTGGCAAAGGAGAATTCCTAGGAAAAAGAATTCTCTTTTGTTCCCCTGGAGAGGACATCACAGCCCTGCCATGCAGGGCCAGTGACTGTCCTGATATGTGGGTCGTGCTCCCGCCAGGGCAGAGGGGACAGCTGAAGGACAGATGGAGCAAGGGCTGGAGGACAGTTATATTGCCCTTATAGTCAGCTCAGTGGACTAGTATCATTCATGGTGAGTATTTGCTGTTTATTTGGTTAATTCATTCATTTCAAAAATCTACTGTGTGCCTATTATGTCCCAGACCCTGTAGCAGGCATTGGTGTAAGCCGAGAACAAGGCAGCGGTGCTGATGAGGAGCACCGTTTTGGCATCTATCTGGGCTTGACACTCTGCGGCTAATCTGGATGGCATCACATTGGCAGGATATAATAGGGCCTGAGAAAGGGTTGAAGGTCAACTAGTGTATCCTCATTCTCCCACCCGGAACCCCAATACGAGGCAGTGAAACACGGAATGAGAGGAATGAGGATGCTGCCCCCTCGGCTTTACTAAGGCCAACACACTTGACATTGGCCACTCCCTTTCTCAAACTGCCCCACCCATCACCTCGGGACAAAGGTGCTTTCCTGGCCTTTCTTCCCACTGCTTGAGAATGCAGTATTGATCATGGCGCACTGGGAGACCCAGCCACCATCTGGCTGGATTCCATGCAACTAGAATAAACTTCCTTAGCAGACGCTACAGACCCCCAACTCCCCTGAGCATGGTCACAAAATGACCAGTCCACCTTCTCTGGGCAGGGCTCGGGACTATCCCAGAGCTCAGAATGCTTGGAGTAGAGGGGAAGTGACCTCAGGGACAGGACAGTGACTTCTAAAGGCATGACGGGTAGGGCCACACAAGCCGAGGTAGCAGAAGTCTAGACAGAATGAGCAACAGTGGGTGGGGGGGATAGAATAAAAGCACGTTTAGTTGTTGTGTAAACCAAAACCAAGGCACAGACATTCCTCCAGGCTGGTTTACTGCCATGGGCTTTATTCTCCACAGTGAGGTGAGTGAGGGTGAGCCGGCAGGTCATGGATGTGGAAAGCTTGAACAAGATCTCACGGACAGGGAGCCCTCACAGCCAGCAGAACCACTGGAAATCATCTGCCCTCTGCCTTTGTTACGTGTGTTTTGCCAATAAAACTGGTTATTAGCAGAGGGAGTTCTAATGACTGACGTGTGAGGCAAAGAGAGCCAGCTGCTCTGGCCTCCAAGACTCAGGGATAGCCTTCTAGGTCCAGTTCCCAGCGTCAGCAGTTTAGGAAGCAGGAAGAACCCAGTCACCCTGGCCTCCAGACACTAACACCAGCCAACATCAGGATCCGTCCATCTGGATTTTATTGGCTTTTGAAATGTACTGTGGGTTGAAACTGGGCTCTTTAGGTGGGTTATGTAGCCTGAGGGCCAGGTGAAGGCGCTGGGGCTTTTTTAAAAAAGAAAGCAGCCAGCAGAGTAAGGAAGGCCCAAGGTCTAGCCTGCACACACGTGCTCCAGCCTCCCCTGGGACCCTACATCCAGGGGCTCCACACACCGGTATCCTTGGGATCACAGCGCGGGTCCAAGCGTGGGAAGAAGGAAGGCACAGAGTGCTTGTGGTAGTACTGCAGGCCGGAAAGGAGCTTCAGGACGATGTGGGGTGCTCCTGGGACAGGTCGTGTTTTTCTTCAGGGTCCTGATTGATGTCAAACAGCCAGGGTGTCTTGGTCGATGAGTCCAGCGAAGGTATCTCAGAAACGTTGGATTGAGAGGGAGGCGGGAACCAGTAACCACAGCCTGGGTGGCCCGTGAGGAGTTCCCAGCTCTGTGTCTAACCCCAGTGTGGACGGACGTGTTAAGGGCGGAATACTCTAACCCCAGCGTGGACAGACGTGTTGAGGGCGGAATACCTAACCCCAGCGTGGACAGCGTGGGCGGATGTGTTAAGGACGGAATACTCTAACCCCAGCGCGGACAGCGCGGACGGACGTGTTAAGGGCGGAATACTCTGAAGGGAAAGAGTCATTCTCTGCGGCGGCCGTGCTCCTGCCAGGACACGCGAGCTGTCAAAAAAGTCCGATCAATGCTGTGCAGCGGCTCCACTCGGGGAGGGGTGGGCTTCCTTCAGTGATGGTCCTCCACATGTCGAAGCCATCCAGAGGCTTGGTACCACTGGTGCTTCCCCCGGCCAGATTCGCCAGCGTTGGAAGCCAATCTGAGAAGTGGATGAGCTCCGGGTCTCCACACCTTTTTGTTTCAGCAAGGGGCTCGCCGCAAAGCTCACTCCACAGACGCTTCCTTCCCACAGGGTCCATTTTCTTCCCAGGGTCCATTTCCTTCCCACAGGGTCCATTTCCTTCCTCGAAGTGGCCAGTTGTTGTCCCCAGACAGAGTCTGCCCACCATTGTCTGTGGAGAAGATGAACACAGTTGTTCTGGAGCCCGTGGCTTTTTCAAGGCTGCTTTTCCCACTGCTTCATCCATGAGGGACACCGATCCTGCATAAACCCGTCTGTGCTTATCTTGGATGAAGTCATATGGCTTCATGTATTCCTCAGGAAGCTGAAGGGACCATGGACAGACTGGAGAGCCAGGTAGAGGAACAGCAGACTTCCACATTGCTGTTCACCGCTGCCGGAAGTCAGGACAGGAGCTCAAACAGGGCAGGAGCCCTGAGGCAGGGGCTGATGCAGAGGCCATGGACAGGTGCTGCTTCCTGGCTTGCTTCTCACTTCTTTTTTTAATTTTATATGTATTGGCTGTGTGCATGTCTGTGCATGATGCGTAAGCTGGGGCCCACAGAGGCCACAGAGAGTGTTGGGTCCCCCAGAACTGGAATTCCATACAGTTATGAGTTGTCATGTGAGTGTTGGGAATCACACCCAGGTGCTCTGGAAGAGGACCCACGCTCTTCACACTGAGCCATCCAGCCCCTGCCTCTACCTCCTGAGTGCTGGGATGACAGATGTACACCGCCATGTCTGGTTTAACAGGTACTGGGATGGAATCCAGCTCTTCATGAGTCCTAAGCAAGCACTCTGACAACTGAGCTGTATTCTTGTTGTCATGTAGCCCAGGCTAGCCTAGAACTGGTGATCCTCTTGCCTCTGCCTCTTGTGTGCTAGAGACACACACTCTAACTCGGGCTCTCTCAGCTCTGGCTGTGTGTCTTTGGGAAAATCACTTCACTTCACTGGTCTATGTTTCCCCATCTGTAAAAGGGAAAAAACAATTAGGTTTCACGAGCTGTCTGAAGATGGTTGACACACGAGCAATGTAGAGCGGTGCACAGCAGATGTAGAGATAAATGTTTGCTTTTTTGTGTGTTTTTTGGGGACTTTCTAAACAGTCTTAGCAAATAAGAAACACAGAGCCAAATACAGAGGTAATAGCCAAAGAGATCAGAGAGCCACGACTACCTTATCTACCACCTCACAGCCACTGCTTCCCCAGAGAGAGCTTCTTCCTGTGTGACTTGTGTTTTTATTGCTTTCCTGTTCTGCCTTCTCATTGGCTCTAAGCCCAGCCACATGACTTCCTTGTCACTGACTGTCTATACACACCTCCAGGTCTCTATGGTTAGTACTGGGATTAAAGGCTCATGTCACAACGCTTGGCTGTGTCCTTGACCACACAGAGACTCTGCCTGCCATGTGATCGGGATTAAGGGCGTGAGCTACCAATGCCTGACTTCTCTTCCTGGCTCGCTATGGCCTCTGATCTCCAGGCAAACTTTATTTATTAACATACAAATAAAATCACATTTCAGCACAATTAAAATATCACCACAGAGTTTCACTGTGTAGCCCTGGCTGTTCTGGAACTCACTCTTTAGACCAGGCTGGCCTCTTTTTTTGTTTCTTAATGGATGGTGAGACCATAAATGGTCAACTTTCCCCCCACTGTAATGTCCTTGGAAACTAAATATCTTTTTTTTTTTTTTTTTTTGAGACAGGGTTTCTCTGTGTAGCTTTGCGCCTTTCCTGGAACTCGCTTTGTAGACCAGGCTGGCCTCGAACTCACAGAGATCCACCTGGCTCTGTCTCCCGAGTGCTGGGATTAAAGGCGTGTGCCACCACCGCCCTAAATATCTTTTATCTTAGTGCCTGGTGCAGGAACCAAAGGAAATTCCCCTTTGTCCACTGAATGTTTCTAGAATAAGCAGAAAGGGGCTGAGAATACAGCTGAGCAGTAAGAGGGCCTGCCTAGAATCCCCCAGGGAAGAAGGGGCCGGGAGCTAGACTCCGTGGTAGAGTCCTTGCCTAGAATCTCCCGGTGAGAGGCTGGGCCATGGCTTGGTGGCATGCCTGTGGTAGGGTGTAAAAACAGGCCCAATTAGTTCTTTTTCCTCTTCTAACAGTTCTTCAGTTGGTATATCCTGTCTCCTCCCAGTTCTTATGGTAGGGGTCTCTGGACTGTACCTGCCCTTTTCGGCAGGGTTCCTGAGCTTGAGCTGCCCACCCCTCATTCCCCTGAAAGCCCATGGGCAGAAACCTTACACCACACTGCCAGGTTGTGGGTGTGGAGCCTTGGGACCACCTCACATGGTCGTACTCCGTGGGGAGGAAGAGTTGACCTGACAGCTCATGGGAGATGAGGGAACCTTACAGCAGTCGCAGCCACAGTGTTAGAGCAGAAGCAACCACGGGGCCAGTTTCTCCTGCCGTATGGAGCTGGACCTCCAGCCACAGGGCTGGGCTGTACCAGAAGACCTCAGTCCTCAGACAGCCGCAAACTTCCAGGAAGGGAAGGCGTTTGAACTGAGCCACAACAGTGGGTATCCGAGCTGAGAAGATAGATGCATGCCATTGGGCAGGACTCTAGAGATGAGCGGAGAATGAGTGTGGCCACGAGTGTGAGAAGGTCCTTGTCAAGGCACTATAGGTGTGATGCAGGTGTAAGGCAGGTGTGAGGCAGGTGTGCATGGTGCAGGATAAAAGAATCTATGCTGAGGAGGACCCTGGTTGAGTTGACTCCATATCCCTAGTCTGGCCAGTGAACTCTCCATACCTCCTAAGCCCCCCAATCTTAGAGGCAGGGGCATGGAGACTTGTGGACTGCTTCCTGGATGGGTTGCTCCTGACTTCTGAGGCCGGTCCAAATGATGTTGGGGGTCAAGATGCTCAATACTACAGTCTAAAGCCACCCCCAGCTGGCCAGAACCAGAGGGTGTCAAACAGATGGTCTGTAATGTGAGCCGCAGATGTGGAAGTGTGGAGGCCTGGGAGAACACGACAGTAAGAATGGGACAGGAGTTTATGTTCAGGCTAGCTGAGCATTATTTCTCCTGCAGTTGTACATTAAATGTTTTTACATCCAGAAAAAGGACAAACACTATAAAATTGTATTACGTGAAATATATAGAATATACAAATTCACAGAGACAGAAAGATTAGACGTTATCTCAAGACAGAGAAGAAAGGAATATAGAGCAATGATTTCCTAAGTACAGAATCTCTGTTTTGTGTGATGGAAAAGCCCCACAAATGGACAGTAGTATCAGGACATAATATCATGAATTAATAAATCAATACAACTAATGTTAAAAAAAAAAAAAGAATGGGACAGGACTCCACAGGTGGGCAGAGACTGAGCTGCACCAAGGGCAGGTGGGCCAGGCCATAATGAAGGTGTGGCTTGAGTCTGGGAAGGTCATAGGGTCAGTCTGTTCCTGGGCCATGTCTTCCCTATTCTAAGGCTGGGCTGGACCAGTACCACAGAGCTGTCCACAGTCAGTAGGACTTGCAAATATGGGCTCCAAGCCCTGGTCATGCTGGAAGGTGATCCTGTCCCTTCTTCTGGGAAGCTGGCAAGGCCACCAAGAGGGACGATGGGCTTGACTTCTGACAAGGCCCCTCTGGAGATGGATGGGTGACTTGGCACAGGAGCACCATTGTCAATCTGCATGTCCTGTGTGAGCTGATTATGCAGACCTTTTAGCCCTCCTCCCTCCGCCCTGGCTGGGGAGCCCTGACTTTTCATTGCCCACTCTCCTTCTGGGGAGTTCTGGATTGTCTGATCCCATGGTGGTTGTACAGATGGCTCCAGGACTGACTGTGCTAAATGTCTGTCCCCAGTGCTTTGTGTGGAAAGACAGGACTACCTACAGCTCTGAGGGGAAAAGGCATCCTGGCAGTCAGGACCCAAGGAATACCACAAAGTCACACACACAGCATAACAAACCTCATCAAGAGATTTACTGGAAAAGCACAAGAGGGTGGCTGCCTCTGCTCAGGAAAGAACTGAATAGGAGACTGGCTTATATAGGTTTTTTTTGTCCGCCCCCCCCCCCCCATGATTAGTGGGATTTTGTGGCCTGATGTTGAGCTTTCTTCGTAGGGCAGAGCTTGGCTGACTGGGTGTGGGGCCTGGCCATTCACACACCACAAGGGGTTGGGTTTGGCCACTAGAGCAGTCTAGGGGCAGGGAGGGCCTGGCCACTTGCACCTCAAGAGACTTACATCCACCTCTTCAAGAGCCAGGTCCAGGGCAATGCAGCTCCAAAGCCCCAACACGAGGGCCCTAGGCCTGAGGTGACACCCATCAGGACCCCATTCTGAGTCAACCTAAGCCACAACAGCACCTATCAGTGCCAGCCCAAGGCAAGGGGCAGGGACATCTTTCTCATAACGATTGAATTCAGGGTAAGATGGGATCCTGCAAGGTCTGCAGGGGCAGGTTTACAGGAGCCCAGGACACACATATTTACTTGGGTTTCTCTGTGCAGATCAGGGATCTGAGTTGGTCAGCATCATCATAGGGCTGATCATGCCCCAACGGGTGGTGACCATTGCAATGGCCTTACTGTCTGTCTTCAGGAGGCAGAACCAGAGTGGCAGCTACCACTTGAGAAACCCAAGGACCTCTGTGCCTCTCAAGACACTGCAGTCTGAAGACACAGCCCTGGAAGAGTTGCCCTGAGCTGGGGGAATCTTAGGGCAAGATCGATGGGTGATTGGGCTGTATCAAGTTCCCCATCAATAAGACCCTCAAACTCTATGGCCTGTGGTTTGATTTCTTTTTCTAACAAAAAAACAAAAAACAAACAAACTAGCAAAAAACCCAACAGTTGCCGGGCGGTGGTGGCGCACGCCTTTAATCCCAGCACTCGGGAGGCAGAGCCAGGCGGATCTCTGTGAGTTCGAGGCCAGTCTGGGCTACCAAGTGAGTTCCAGGAAAGGCACAAAGCTACACAAGAGAAACCCTGTCTCGAAAAACCAAAAAAAAACCAAAACAAAACAAAAAAACCCAACAGTTTATTTCAGTAAGTGAATTCAGAAAATGTTTGAGAAAGCACATTATAACACTAATTATTATTGGTTAGCACTTGCTAACTAACAACAGACCTCCCAAAGGCTTAGATTCCAGGTGTGCTGCGGATAGACTGGGTTTTCGTCACTACCTACCACGGGCTCCCCGCAGCAGCTCCGCCCTTCTCCTCAATGGCCGAGAGTCAGGGCCAGGGGGCCGCGCTCGCTCCAGCCAATAGGCTGCAGCGGGCCGGGAAAGAGGCGGGACTTCCACCAACCAATCAGGACGCGCGCCCTCCTTGCCGCTCTATGTCGCTCCGCCCTGAGCTCGCTGGTCCCAGAAGGCGCCGGGTCTCCCAAGATGGCGGCCGACGTGTCCGTTACTCACCGGCCGCCGCTCAGCCCGGAGGCGGAGGCCGAAGCGGAGACTCCCGAGACCGCCGATCGCCGGGCGCCTGAACAAGAGCTGCCGCCGCTCGATCCGGAAGAGATCCGGAAACGCCTGGAACATACTGAGCGCCAGTTCCGTAACCGCCGCAAGATACTGATCCGAGGCCTCCCGGGGGACGTGACCAACCAGGTATGGGGGGGGGTGAGAGCGTGGCGGGAAATACCACGGTGCGCGTGCGCGGGGGGAGACCAGGCAGTACCAACGCTGCTGTGTGTGCGGACTTTGCCCGGTGCCGCATCCTCTCCCGGGTTCGGGGGACATTAAGAAAGAGGTGGAAACGGCATGGTCAGGAAGGGCCGAAAAACCACCTCTGGACTGCGGGCCAACGTTGCTAGGGGCGACCACCGGGCTTGGGCGAGACCAAGTGGTTGAAGGGGGCAGGTAGTTCAGGGGGCGTGCAGCTGTGGCCCCATTGAGGTGTTGCGGGGGATTGTGAATGGATTGATTGAAATAGAGACTCCAACTGGCCCAAGCATGCTTTCCCTCTCCTGCCGTGGGGTGGCGGGAGCTCAAATCTGGAAGTTTCAGGATTCGAGTACGGCCTTTCTTATCAAAGATGAATCAACACCTTTAAGAAGTAGACCCGGAAGTTGGAGCTGCATCCCTCAAAAGGCCTACTAGAATTGACTTGAGAAAATGAAGTCTCCCTTCGACGTGAACGGGCCGGGGGTGGGGTGGGGGTGGGATTGTGTATTCTGTGGCACTTTCCTATGGCTAATCTTGTCTGCCGGGAGTGCCCTTCTCTTGGGGACCTGCATGGAGCAGGGCGTGCAGTGCTCTTTGAACCTAAGAAAGTGGTATCTATGTTGCCCTGCCCGGTGGTGGTGGGGTAGGCCCTTTCTGCTCGCTGCTAAGAATCTCTGCTCCTATAGCCGGGCGCTGGTGGTGCACGCCTTTAATCCCAGCACTCGGGAGGCAGAGCCAGGCGGATCTTTTGAGTCCGAGGCCAGCATGGTCTACAGAGTGAACTCTAGGACAGCCAGGGCTACACAGAGAAACCCTGTCTCATCCGAACAAAACAAAAGGGTCTCTGCTTACTGGCTCACCCTAGTACCTACTACTATGTGGGCACATGGCTATTGAAGCCCCAGAGGTGTTGGGGAACTTGATATGGGGACAGACCTGGAATAGAAACCTGTGTGCATGGTCTAGTGCATATCTGGAACTGCCAGTCTTGTCTCAGTGGGCTCATACGTGGGTCATCAGATGAAAACAGGCCGGGCAACTTGCCCTGGCAGCCAGCATTCATTAACAGCAGCCCTGTCACTATGAGGAGTTTGGGGTGGCTGGGCAATCAGCCACACGGTGTGTAGTCCTTAAGTGCATGGAGTCCCTGATTGGGTGCCCTGGGTAGCATGCCCTGAGTCAGCCTAACAATTTGTGTAGTTCACCTCTTACAGCCTCAGTTCCTTGTGCACAAAATAGCTAAGTAATTAGCTGTAAAATTGTTGGACCCTTACATAGAGCATCAGACAGGTCGGGCAACCTCCTTGAAGGCATTCGATTTGAGTTGTTGGTGTTCCTAGCATGTAATCTACAACCTTGCCCTGCACAGCCTTGGGTAGAAGATAGTTGTTACAGTAAAATGGAGATGTTGGTTTATCTACTTGTATGGCGGGCCTGGCCAGTGACTCCTGGCTTCTGATTGTGTCTTTGCAGGAAGTACATGATCTCCTGAGCGACTACGAACTCAAGTACTGTTTCGTGGACAAATACAAAGGGACAGGTTTGTGGGCTATGGGCGAGGATGACAGTCCCCAACGGTGACAGGAGGGACCTGGCTGAGCATTTGTTCTCCTGAGCTGTGGGTCCTATATTGTCCTAGAGGATACACTCAACAGGAGCTGTTGTCTGATCCTTGTTCTGGCTGTCCATTTCTTCATTTTTTGAGATAGGGCTGTATAGTGAATATAGCTCTTCCTGGCCTGTAACTCACTATGTAGATCAGGTTGGCCTTGAAATCACAGAGATCCACCACCTTCCTGCCTTTGTTTCTTGAGTGCTGGGATTAGAGGCGTGTACCACCATGCCAGCTTGTTTATTTTGTGTGTCTTGAGTGTGAGCATGAGCAACAAGTGTGGAAGGTAGAGGACAGCTGTCTAAGTCATCTCTGTCCACCTTGCTGAGACAGCATCTCTTGTCTCTGTCACAGGAGGCAGTTCTCCCATCTTAGACTAGGAAGACCGGATTGGATTACAGGTGCATATGAGAGTACGCACCTACACATGGGAGTCTGGGACTAGAACTCAGGTGGTTAGGCGTGGCAGCAGGCTCCTTTACCCGGCCTTCTCTCCTCTTTCCTTTCTTTTTTTTGACTCTGTGGTCCTTTTTTTGCCCAGGTGGTCCTGGAGTTCCTGATGTAGACCCAGCTATCCTGAAGCTGGTAGCAATTCTTCTTTAGCTTCTACTGCTGCTTTGGGGTTTTTGTTTTGTTTTCCTTTGGTTTTTCGAGACAGGGTTTCTCTGTATAGCCCCGGCTGTCCTGGATCTCACTCCGCAGACCAGGCTGGCCTTGAACTAACAGAGATCCACATTCTTCTACCTCCTGAATGCTAGGATTAAAAGTCACCGCCTGGCATATGCCTTAATCCCAGCACTTGGGAGGCAGGTGCAGATGGATCTCTGTGAGTTCAAGGCCAGCCTGGTTTACAGAGGGAGATCCAGGACAGCAGAGCTACACAGCAAGCTTGGTACCTATGGAGGCCAGAAGAGAGCACGAGATTCTGGGGAGACAGTTATAGAAGGTGTGAGCTGCCATGTGGGTGCTAGGAACCAAACCCAGGTCCTTGCGAGAGCAACTACTGCTCTTAAGAGCTGAGTCATCTCTTCAGCCCCATTTTGGTTTTTGACTTTTGGCTTTATTTTAATCAGGTCTCATAAACCAGACTAGAGTCAAACTTACTATGTGAGTGAGGATGACCTTGAACATCAAGACATCCTCCTGCCTCCACTTTCAAAGCACTGGCCATACAAGGCATGTGTCACTGTGCTCAGCTCCACCACTGTTCTTACCTATCCCCTCATAACCCAAGCCCATGGGCCACCCTCCTCTGTCATTGTAGGCTGAGGCTGGCACATTTGCCCACACATGGAATGGTCAAGTCTGTGCCCATGGATAAGACGTTGGCTTCTTGTGTGAGGCCATCAGTGAATGTCTGTGCTTTCCAGTATTGTACCAGGTGTGAAGAGCAGCTAGAACCTTCTCTGAACATCTCGTGCTGGGTGGGCCCCTATGTGGTAAAGCAGAGAGCTGACACTTGAGAGTTGGTCTCTGACTCTGGAGGGAGAGGATCAGAGGTTCCAGGCTCCTTGGCTACAGAATGCCTTTGAGGACAGCCTGGGGTACATGAGACCTTCAAAAACTGAGGCAAAGTGGGGTTATGGAATCAAAAGCCATGGGGGACTGAGTGGAGGTCAGGTTCAGGTCAAGGGGCAGGGTTCAGGCAGGCAGGGCGTATCTGGCAGGGTCCGGGAGGCCACACCAATTGCTGTGATGGGAGTTGAAGAGGACACAGGCTGGGCCACCTGCTTAGGATCTCTGAACAAGGTTTCCTGTGGCCCTAAGATGGGTTCTGAGTGAGGAAGCTGGTGGGCAGACCGCGCCTCTGAAGACCAACTGTCTCGGATGATTTTGTTGTATCTTCTTAGTGTGTGTGTGTGTGTGTGTGTGTGTGTGTGTGTGTGTGTGTGTGCGCGCGCGCGCGCACGCGCGCGCTGGCATGCGTTTAGGTCTGAGGACAACTTGCAGGAGTCTGTTTCTCATATTCCACCATGTCCCTGAGGATTGAACTTAGGCTATCAGGTTTGGTGGCGGCAAGGCCTCTACGTGCTGAGCCATCTGGTCCTCCACCCTTTTGTATTTTTAATTTTTACTTGATTTTGTGAGTGCTCTGTATGTGTGTGATACTGGAGCTTAAATTTCGAGCCTCGCACATGCTAGAAAAGTGCTCTAAAGCTGAGGTACATTCTTAGTCCTGATGTTTCTTTTTTTATCATTGTTATTTTGTCGTGCCAAAGATGAATACTCTTAATGCTGAACTACATCACCAGCCTTCGATTGGTGTTTTTGAGACAGTGTGTTATGTAGCCAAGGTGGCCTCAACTCACTATGTAGCCAAGGTGACCTTGACTTTCTGATCCTCCTGTTTCAGTCTTGCATGTGGTGAGGTCACTGGTATGTTCTACCACACCTGACCTATAGACGGAACCTAAGGCATCATACATGCTAGGCAAGCCCTCTGCCAGCTAAGCTATGCTACTGGTCCCAGCCCTTGATTTTTTAGGACAGAATCTCACTAGATAGCCCAGGATGACTTTGAACTCTGTCCCCAGTCTTACAAATGCTGGGATCACAGACATGTGCTACCATTCCCTCCCTACCCACAGCCTGGCTCTTGGGCTGCTGATCTAGGCCTGTTTATTCTCCACCAAAAATGGTAGATGTGAGGGTTAATCTGTTCCATTTGACAGATGAGAAAGTTGAGGTGCCAGAACCTTTAAGAACTTTGGGCTTGGGGCTGGAGTGATGGCTCAGTGGTTAAGAGCACTGATTGCTCTTCCAGAGGACCTAGGTTCAATGCCCAGCACCCACATGATGGTTCACAAACATCTGTAACTCTAGTTCCAGGGGATCTGGTACCCTCTTCTGACCTCCACAGGCAGCAGGCACATAGGCAGTACACAGACATACATGCAGGCAAGCATGCACATAAAATACAATTAAAAAAAAAAGGCTGGCAGTGGTGGCCCACACCTTTAATCCTAGCACTCAGAGGCAGAGGCAGACATCTCTGTGGTCTCTACAAAAAGAATTCCAGGGCTGCCAGAAACCATGTCTTGAAAACAAACAAACCAAAAG